GCTAAGTCACAGGAATCCCTCTGAGTTTTAAAACAGAGATACTGGTACAACCAACATCCTTGACTGCTTATAGCAACTTTCAGTTCAATGAATCCCTTCAGCAGATTTCCCTCTCTGGTGGATGTCACTTTTGAAATAACCAGTGGCTATTTTAAACCACCTCCTTCCCCAGATAACAGACCTTTGGGGCTGCAGCAGGTGCAGAGAGCCAGGCCAGTGGTATTGTTAAGTCGCACAAAACCCTAGCGGCTCTCTTGCATTCCTGTCCACACTGAAAGAGAAGATGCTGAAAAGGCTTTGCACCAGGGAGACACCTCTGCAGAATGGGGGAGAGGCCCTTTCATTGTAAGCATGGTGTCTGAGGGAGAGTAAGGTCAGCCAGAGGTCATCCCAACGTGCTCAGGGAAGGCCGCGTGGGGAATTCAGGCCAAGGCATTAATAGGAAGGGAGAGAGACTTACAGCCCCTGGGCAGGGCTGCAAGTCCCGTGGAGCTGGACATCCATTGGGACCCAGATCTGATTACTCTGCACAGAATCCTCATCCTTCTGGAGATGAAGAAGTACTGCCCACAATACATTCAAAAGTCCAAAGGTTGGGAAATCTGGTGACCTGATGTAAATATGAAAAGAGATGAGCACGCTTCTAAAACTGTCCCTTGTAAAGGGGCAGGAACAGCCCTGACATACACTCTAGACAAGAGACACCTTGGACTTTGGGGTCTCTGGGCACTCCCTAATTTCAGCTTCAAAACTTAGATTTATGACTATAATTTCATATTAAAGGGACTTAAATCCTGTGCCTAAAAAGGCACTCAATTTCATTTCCCTGACTTGCCCTTATTCAAAAAAAAGTATCAAATAACATAAGGGATGTAGGCTTCCCAGGTGGTTCATTGGTAAATAATCTGCCTGCCAAGCAGGAGATACGAGTTCGATCTCCGGGTTGGAAAGATTCCCTGGAGAAAGACATGGCAACCCACACCAGTATTCTTGCTGGGAAAATTCCATGGACAAAGGAGCCTGGTGGGCTACAGTTCACGGGGATCACAAACGAGTTGGACACTACTTCCTGGCTAAACAACAACAACGTATCACATAGGTGCTCCATCATGTAGGGGAGGTGAAGCCAGGCTTCTGACACTTGAAAAGAAAAGGACTCTGAGCTCAGGCTAAAGCTCCCCCAAACTTTAAAAGCACTTGCACTTCTCAGATTTTCTCTCTGCCATTACCCTGTGTTGGACAAGCTCCCTCTTCAGAACAAACCTCTGTCCATACCCACGAATTGGAGAATTGGACGTTCATGGTATGCTGAATTCTTAAGTGATAGAGACAGAAAGAGGAAAATGGGCAGAGAGGAAGAACTCAGGGCAATCCAGACTATTATCTACCTCTTAAAACAGACACACACATACACACACATGTGCGCGTGTGTGCATCTTAGCTTTGGTTCTGGAACAATTTGGTCTTATGCACTTTAGATCTAATTTGCATAAACAGGATGGAAACTATTTTCCAAACCCTTAATTCACAACACCCTGCACACCTGGGTCTTCCAACACAGCTGTAAAATTTGAAAGACAAAGGCCCTCTTTGCTTCCCTACAACAATGGGAACCACCATGGGGCTTGCGTTTTGTTTTCTAATATAATCCTAAATACCCTGCAGGTGCCCACACTGACAAAGAAGTTCGACTGAGTCCCCTGGGTTTGGTAATGCAAACAGGTAGGGAGACAAAACACAAAGAGAACCAAATCAATACATTTGTCTTAATGTGACTCAGAATGACCATACTCGGTGACCTTTAGGGAACGTACTTGCTTTCCAACGCCAAATCATCTTCCCTCCAAGCTGAGAATCAGTGGTTCCTCCTCCAGGGCCTGCCTGCCTTCCTATCACAGAACCATTAGCTCATCATTGAGTTGCCAGACCCTGTGAACAAGCAAGGCTCTGCTCAACTTTATGCCACAAACAAGAGTCGAAGGTAAATCGTGTTTAAAGCATCTTAAACAGCTTCTGAAGCCATACTCCCCAAAGCAATTTCAGAGAAAGAAAACATCTGAGTTCTAAGAAGTGCAACGTCTTCTAAGGTCTGGGAAGTTTGAAGAGAGCTTGGCAGAGCTGGGAGCTATTTATGAATGTGCTGGTTGGACTAGGCCGTTCTCACCTACGTAATGGGATGGCAGACTCAGTTATGGCTTGACTACTACACCTATAAGTTATTGTGTTGAATAAGTTATCCTCAGGCCCCAGGAATGAACATATTTTCCCTTCTCCCAGCACCATTCCAGTTCTGTTATTCCAACTGCACTTACATCCACTACTAACGAGTTTTACTTTCCTTATGTGGGGCTTAACAGCAACTCCAAAATTAGATGCACTGTTTACAAAAGCAAAAAAAAAAAAAAAAGAAAAAAAAGTTCCATAAAGCCACAGGTCCCCTTCTATCTCAAACCCACAGCCTGAAATTGAACTAGTTGCAGTAAATCTAGTTCATGGGGTTATAAACTAGCTCAACGCACTTTCTAGACACAATGGACTCAGAGGGTGTAAAGTTGGTGAAGCTATAATGTATTTTATCATATATATAGACAGAGACTTTCTCCCCTCAAGTCTGACTGAACCTTCATAGCCAGGACTATAAAACACAAATATCCTGATGGAAAATTCAGAATTAGACTAATGACTTAAATCGAGAAATGTGAAGCCTGGGGGAGAAGGGGGAAAATATTTACCAAATTGTTCTTTAATCAGAAGAAAAACAAACAAACTTCACAAACATTTTTTCAAAGGACACACATTTCCGTACTGAATACCATATTGCCACATACTAACCAGAGGCCATACTACTCACTTAAAATCTAATCAGTTAACACCATAATCAGTATAATCAAGTCTCCTGAAATTCAAAATAGCCAGTTTTGTATTCACTGATCAGCAAATGTGTTGGGAAGAGAGAAAAGACTGCAATTTTAAAGGTATTTATGACTTGTGAAATGTCACTCTTTAGGAGATAAAAGCCCCCCCAAACAACCAGTAGTTTTGCTCCAAAAATTAAAGGGCAAGGCAAAGAGGATCTTATGGCCATAGGAAGTGAAAAAAAGAGGCCATCCTGTCCTTGCCAGGAAGCCACCACTTCTGAACTCAGTGCCTTGCCCATGATGCCACCGACACGTGACATTGGGAGTCACTATTCCTGCAGGTGAACACTTAAGCAGCTACTGATCCCACGACTTAAAACAATTAAAAAAAAGAAACTACTTAAGAGTATGCAAAGGAAAACCCACAATACCCCAGACTGCCCCAGCTATATACCATACTACCTAATGGCAACTCTGGGGTCTACCTCCATTAATTTGCATGACCACCACCTGTGTTAAAACCCCACCACCTGACCACCGGTTTTCCCTAAGTCAGGAATTCCAAAGCAGAAGCAGAACACTGAAGAGAAATCCTGTGCATAAGGGTCGCGCTTCACAACTGCGCAGGATGGAGCGCTAAGCAGTGTGGAACGTTAAGAGATCTATGCCCCACTCTCAGAGACACAGGATCTTCACATTTGAAAGGAATTAACTTCTTTCCCCTTATGGCAGTCTGAGTCTCAGACCACAAGTTCTTACATCAAGCCACAGGTGTTGGTTAAAACTGGTGTCACCAGTTTTGTTTCTCTTTTTGAAGAGTGAATGTCATGCCTGAGGTTACTACTGTGACTCTTGCATGTTCTAGGAAAGATGTCCAATTATTCAACTAAAAAGCAGACTATTCAAGCTAGGCCTCTTTTGGAAGGTACTAACAGTTCTGCAGAGATGCTAATTACTGATAACTGGACAGGATTTTGACTCATGAAGCAGATTTGTTAGAAATTTTAAAAGGTTATGAGATTCTGCCATGTTTACACAACTCCGTATTTGTGTTTTGCTGAGAAGTGACCCACCAAGTCCCAATAGGTCAAAATCCTGACAGCACAGAGATGAGACTCCTGCCGGTTAACACACACTGCTGAAACCAGTCTCGCACCCTCTCCGGAAGTAGCACTACTCCAAGACTTATCTGCACCATTTACAGAGGAGAAATGCTACAGGGTGGGCCCCAAGGTGCACTGGATTGGCAAGCCCCAGGAGCCCCCTAGGGAAGCAGCCAGGAAGGCTCTGAACACAGTTCCCTAAGATACCAACCAGGGGGGAAAGGACCAACTTCCAGCAGTCACAGATCTCCAGGAACTCTCAGAGTACCCTAACTCAACTCGGGGAGTCCTCCAGAATTCTGCGGGGGGCCAGAGCCAAGTCAGGCCACCAGTCTGGTGGATGAGGAGGCAGCTACGCACACTCTCACTAATAAATGATGTAAATGGAAGACTGGAGCCAAAAGTCACCTTCATTCATTACCCACTGGAAGGCCAAGCAGCTCAGACAAGAGAGATGGATTACAGGACAGAGAAAAAGAAACACTCGCGGACCCCCAGACAGACTTCCTCACACTCTCCCCTCCAGATGTTTCCCGCTCTCCACCCACACATACACCCTCACCTCCTGACTCTTCACTCACACTCTTACCTCCACATTCCCACCCACTCACCAACTCCCAGACGGCTTTCACGAGCCACGCTCACTCACCTCCAGACCCCCACGACACTTTTTCTTCTCCAGAACCTCAAGACCCACATTCGCTCACCTTCAGACCCCAAAGACCCACGTTCGATCTCACCCTTCCCTCCACGAGGTACACTTCCCGCCTTAAGACCCCAAAGACCCACGCTCGTGCACCGCCACACACTCACGAGACTCACACTTTTCCCATCCAGACTTCTTCGCACGCACAGTCTCCTCCAGATCCCCAAGGACCATGTCACCAACACAATCCCACACTAACAGTTTTGCAGCTCATTCAAACTTGACACGCACGAAACTCAAAGCGTAGCCCCTTTTCGGAGAAGCACCCCAGCCACCCCGTCCGCAAGTGACAGCGCCCCGGGGCGTGAGGAGGGCGTAAAGGGCGGCACTTACAGACTCCGCGTCCAGGCGGGCAGGTCCCCTGGCAGCGCCGCCAACCCGCGCCCGCCGCAGTCCAGAGAGTCCCCAGCGCAAGTGCAGGGGGCGGCGCAGGGCGCCCGCGAGCCCGCTGTGGCCGATGCGGTCTCCAGCTGAAGCAGCAGCAGCAGCAGCCAGAAGAGGAGAAGACAAGGCGAGAGGCGCGGGGCCCCGAGCGCTCCGCGGACCGGCCGCGCCATCTTGTCTGGAGCGCGCAGCGAACTCCCTGTGCTGGGGCTGCCAAGTCCGGGGCGACCGCCGGCACGGGCAGGCCTGCGGGAGCTCCGCTCCGCACTAGGCTCAGTGCCGGGGCATGGCTGCCAGCACAAGTTCTCTTTGCGGTAGCGACTCTGACGCTCAGGGGCCCCCCAGTGCCTGGGCTACTCGGCAGAGCCCGGAGGGGGCCGCGAACCCCGCGCCCATCCGGGCCGACCCGTCCGTGCTCGCTGCGAACCCCACGGAGCCCAGCAAACGGTGCTCGGCTGACTCTCCTCGTTCCCCCGCCACGCTTCGGAGTCCTCGCGCACACCAAGTGCCGCCGCCGCTGCGAGCAAGGAGCTCGGAATCAAAGCAGAAGCTCTGCGCCCGTAGGCATATTCCTCGCGGCTCCAAGCGTCCAACTGCAGACTCCCGGCTGGACGACGCGGCCACCCCCGCAGTGCTCCAAGGGCCCGGTGCGCCTAGCTGTCCCAGCGCCTCAGGCAGAGCGCGCCCGCGCAGTTCCGGGCTACGCACGCTCCTCCGTTTAGCTAGAACCCCGCAGACCTCGCGGCCGAACAATCAGCCTCTCGCCGCTCGCTTCCCCACGGCCCAGCCCGGGCCGGTCCCGAAGCCCCGCCCCCGGCCGCTCGCCCTCACACACCCCCTGGGCTCAGCCGCCCGCGGCCTCCTGCCGGCCCACGTTGGATGCTTTGCAACAGCGCCCCGCCCCGCCCCCGCCTGCTGTTCATTGGCTGCCGGGGTCCACGGCGGCCAGTTTGGGCGCTCATTGGAGCGTTCACCATGATCCCGCCCCTCCCGCCTCTCCGGCCACCCCACCCCAGTCTCTTTTCCCACCCAAGGTGTGAAGGGCGGGGGACTGGGAGGAGAAAGGGAGAGTCGGCCTCTGGCTCTTAAAGGGGACTTACTGACTGATGGAGGAGGGGGATGCGCAGTGGGGAGAGGTGCAATAAAAGTGTGCCCTCTGGGTGTACAGGAGGAGAAAACTTCGGTAAAGAAGGCAATGCTCCCGCTTTGGAGCGTTCTGGCTTCAAAGTTTCTTCCCTCCTTCCCAGTCTGCAAACAGGGCCGGCGACTTAAAGTTTACACCCATTTCCCAGATGTATGCAGATTTAAAACTTCACTAATCTACTGCTGGGGGCATCTTTAGTTATTTTATTAGGGGTGACCGCCTTCCTCTCTCACAACCGGGAGCTCTTTTTGACTCCTGGCTTGTTCCTGACCCCTTAAATCTAGCAATATGTCCTTGATTACCAAAATGAAAGTGTAATGCGTGCAGAAACCGAATCTGAAAGGTGTTCGCAGTCCTACCTCCATCCCCACCTCTGCCCTGGTGAACTGAAGGGTTATCCTGGAAACACTCCAGCCTTTGATATAAAGAGGTTGCTTTGTTTAAATCACAGCCTTTTAAAGCCAGTTTTCAAGAAGCTATACATCAAGAACTCCTAAGAGACAGAATAAAAAGAGAAATAATAATTCTTACAAAGTTGCTAACTGTGGCTCCTACTGGTCCGAGCGTAGTAGCCAAGTGTTAACGGCAGCGCAAAGAGTAATAAGGCAGGCACACCGCTGGGGGGGCGGCGCGCGCGCGCGCACACACACACACACAGTGAAAAAGTTACAAGATTAACACATCAAGATATAGCTGCTCGTATCGACGTTTTGGTTTGCTGGTGTCTCATGTCCCTTCCCAAGAGTATGCAAGTTTCTAACATAACTGCACATTGTCAGAAAATTTAAGTGAGTCATGTCTGTTGAAAAACATTTGCTCCAGCTATTGAAATCTGACTTCTGTGTTACCAAAAAGAAAGGAAGATGTTCCTCAGAAAGAAAAAAAAAATTTAAGCATTGCTTCATTTTTGATACATTCTAAGGGGTTGCTTTAATTGAGATGTTAAAATTTTCCTCAGTCAAGAAAACTTCTTTTCTTTAACCAAAACTAGGTTTGGGCTTGGTAGTCACGTGGTTGCTGGTTTCCTTTCTATTTGTTCCCTCCTTCCTCTTTATCCTCCTCCAACTTCTACTGATTCACTATGCTATCAACTACTGGTGCCTCATGTTTTTCTTCCTTCCTCCATTCCCTCCTCCCTCTTTCTCTCTTTCTCCTTCCCTCTCTCTCTGCAAGATCTCAATAGTAATGCCCAAAGCAAAGCACAAATATGTGTGTAAATTAATCCAAATATGATTCCCAAGGAACACTATCAGAAAAAGGCTGTACCTGATCTATTCTACCAAGAGCTTAATCAGCTTTTATGTTTCATTTGTGACCCATACTAAACATACACCATCCCTCTGGACAAGAAGAAATATACCTCTTTGTTACAATGCCTTTCAGTAAAATAATATTACTAAGCAGAAAGATGGAATTTAAAGGACCCAAAATTGGTGTAGTCCTCTATGTCAAGGTTTCTGAAACTTTTCATGACCAAAGAACACAAAATAGTAATTTAATGCAGAATACCCATGGAGTACTTCCTTAAACAAAGCTATCAGACCTGCCTTGCCCCACCTCAAATGAAACAACACATGCAGCAGAAACAAACTGAACTCATTGAATCCCTTGAGAGGCTGACCTAAAATTACCTTTCATGTTTGTTCCACAATTGGTATTATAAAATGGACATTTATTGTCAAATGTTTTTCCAAATGCTTGTGGGTGCACCTGTGAGATACTTTCTTGGAGGGTAGGGAGGTTGGACCTGAGAACTGGCAAGCTAAGGATGTGCTCACAAGTCTAAAGCAGCCCCTGTGGTCTGGTTACCACGCAGCCAGAGAGAAGGATTCCAAAACCCAGGAACACTTGCAGGCACCGGGCGCCTGAGCCTTGGCAGTTCCCCTTGTCTACAGCAGAGCATGAAGTCATGTCTGCTCCCCATACCATGTATGGAAGTTTGCCCATATACTAGCAACCTGCTTGTGACTGAAAGGAGAGTGTGGGCTTGGAGAGCTCAGGGGAGAATTCATCTGTAGCCACAACTTAAAATCACAAAGACCTGAAGAACAGCAAGGGCAGCTTTCTAAGGGAGTCTCTGTCACCGCTTACAAAAGAGCAAATAGTGGTCCACTAAGCACAGAGCAACAGCTGATTTGGGCACTGTGGGTCCTCATTTTCCTCCACTGCCATCTCCTCAATTTTAAAGTTACTCCTTGAAGGGGGTTATTCAGGGATTTTTAGGCTTTTCACTTTGTTTTAATCCACCAGAGACCAACCCCTAGGACCAGCATGGACTCAAATCCCCCCTCCCATCCCAAATATCTGCAGGATTTTCTTAAATACAGCAGTTAATCACCCTAAACACGCTGAAAAAGACAAACCCCAAATCTAAATAACCTGAAATCACCAAGCAGGAGAAAAGCAAATGACAAAATAACAAGAAAACAGATTGAGCGCATGGATTTTTTTTTTTTTTTTTTTTAAAGAAAACACAAATTCCAGGAGACTGAATTGGGGCAGTTTATGACAGTTCTAGGTGGTGATAATTGGTGGTTTTAAAGAATGCTGAGATTCAGACGTGCTTTCTGACTGTGAGAAGAGATTTTACACTATGTTCAGTACATTCAAAGAGCACCAGGGCTGTATTCAGAAGACCTGGATTCTAGCCAAGACCTGTTACCCATGAAACCTTCGCCCAGTCATTTCCTTTAAGCCTCACTTTTCTCAAATGGAAAACAAAAAGAATGGTACTTCTGACCCAGTGCTAAGAGAGTTAGGGAAGGATCCATTCTGGTACAGGACCTGGGGGACTTTGTCAATCATTTGGGCCTATATACATAGATTTATTTTTAAAGTATTACTGAATTTTAAGTCTGAAAAAAAAATTGAGCAGGTATGGTATGTGTAGGTACATACCATAGATGGAATATCTTAGTAGTTGCTTAGTAGTAGCACAGAGGGTTTTTTCCCCCCAGGCAGGCCACAAAGGGTTAATAATTACCTATAAAACCCCTGAAGATTTGCAGGGTGATGACAGCCCTGCTTTGAGCCTGTTTTGTATCTCTCTTCCAAGGAAAATAAAGCTGTGTACTCATTAACTCCTTCCTCTCAGTAACTGTGTCAATGAGACAGGTAGAGAAGGTGACAGGAAGTCAAGGGATGGAATATAAGAAGAGACAATTTGGAGATTTCTCTGTTGTCCCATCCCAATTTTTCCCTTGGTGGAAGTGCGGAAATGTATACTTTATTGTACATTCTCTGGCTACTGAAATATTCGTTAATGCCCCAAAGGGTGCCAGGCTGCAGTCACTGCATTTCCATAGCAAGAAAGGCCGTTGCCTGAAGTTCATCTGTCCACTCCTGCTTCTGCAGAGCATCACCTACCAGAGGCCCCAGACCACTAGAGTCCACCTTCTAACACAAACTAAACCCTGTATGTTTGTCCTTGCCTCATGGATCTGCCATTTTAATTGGTTCACTGGAAGACGAAGGAAAAGCTTTATGAAAGCTAGGAGCATTTCAAAATTTTGAGATTCTGGTGTGAGGATCAGTGTAAGACGCAGCCTGTCTGCTCCAATGATGAAGAGATGGCTAATTACAACATCACAGAGGCTGTAACTCTCACCACCAACCTGCTGCCTTTCCAATTATTACTTGCAACCACACATGACAGAGAAGGGGGGCGGGAAATCAAAGTTTAGGCTTTACTGCCAGAAACTCGAAAGCAACACCTCAATGTATATAAAGAACAGCACATTTATCATGTTATAATAATAATCTTCATGAAGTCATATACCTTATATTTTTCAAAGGAAGGTCACATCATAACAACAGCTGTCATTTACAGAGCACTTATTCTGTGTCTGTCCCTTGGCAGAGTACTTTAGGTACTTTTTTAGTGAGGTAGAAGTTGAGAAAAATGGTCAAGGTCACACAAGCTAATAAGTGACAAGGCCAAGATTCAAACCGGCTGTGAGGACACCAAAGATTCATTATGACATTTGAGCCTCATAAACTTCAAATATGACAATTGTTATTGTTTCCACTTTATAGATGAGAAAGCTGAGGTTAAACGACATGTCAAGGTCCCACAGAGTCAAGAAAAAATAGAACCTTAAATCCAAGTTCCATTTCAACTATCGTCACACATGCTTTATATTCAGAAAATGTCTTAAGAGATGCTCATGTTGCTTGTTTTTCAAGAATCCTGTGAGAATGGATGAAATTTCTTTCCTCTTCCACAGTGGTCAATCACTTTCCTGAATTTCCTCTCTGATTAATAAGCAAAATATTTTACAGATAAATATATTGGTCTTTCCCCCCACCATACATGGCAGGATTTGTATAATAATAAAAGTTAATCATTACTGACCAGTTACCATGCACTATGCATTATGTGGTGTTATGGCTTAATTTCACTGAAGTCACCTAAGAATTCTGTGAGGTAGGCACTGGAAAGATCATTTTATAGATGAAGACTCCAAGACTCTAGTCATTCAACTAACCCAAGCCACATCCTTGTTAGCGGTTCAGGAATCAAAGCCTCTGCTAATTGACAGATAACTCATCAGAATCACAGTTAACCCACCATTCCCTCAGCAGTCTCTACTGCAATTGTTTTTTGTGTTTATCTTTCCTTCTAGACTGGCAGCTCATTAAGTTCAGAGCCCGAGTCTCAGCCCAGTGTCAGGCACGTGGTAGGCACAGAGGCAACATTTGCTACCTGACCCTCGCTGCCCCCTGAACAGGGAAGCATATAGCAGCCCCTTCCACCCACCATCTAATACAAGCTTGCTCTTCTGTTCCGCACACCAGCAGCATAAATGCACCTGACCGTGTCAGAAACTCCAACT